TATAAAGACTCAAATTAAACTAGTGTGAACATGCACCTAGAAGCAGGTCCTGGTCATGAGAAATTGAATAGATTGTGCTTACATCTCGTACCCGATAGCGGTCTTTACTAGTAACTAGCCCGAAGAAGACCAGTGGGTCACACCCTCGCCTATTTTTTAATAAATCATGTAAGCTTCTCCACACTGTTGAATATAACAAGTGTAAACTTAGCCAAGAGTTTGAGCAAATGGTTTTTCTTGTGAACACACTCTCCTAATCATGTCGTATCGTGCCACGGGTTGTGTTCAGTGTGGGGATGCATTCTGCTGAAATGTTCTTTTAGTTGAGAGCTTTGTTCCTCCAAGTGGTTTGCAGCATTTTGCAACAGGCGTCTTCTCATGTGTGAATATGTAATGCAAGAAATCTGTGTTTTGCTAAAGCATGTTCAGTGATCACACTACAGTTCTCCTGTTGCAGCAGTGATTTAATTGTAGGCATCTCGTTGTTGTAAATTGTTCTCATTCTCAGTAGAAAAACTGAGCGAACTCACTAAGACCTCCAGGACTGTGCCTCCTGTAGGCGCTGCAGCTGCAAAGAAAACGTGTTTGTGCATCATCAGAAGCTTCTGTTTTCTATTTGAGGACATAGTCCTTTCATCCCTCACCAGCATGTACGTTTGCTCCCAGCTTGCTGAAACATGGAGACGAGTGCTTCGAACCCGCAGCCTGCCCCTGTCTGTGGAAAGGGAAGGAGTACTACCCCGGCGACAGAGTCTCCTCCCCCTGCCACCAGTGGTATGTTCATGCATGTGTGGGGATGCAGCTGTGTATAAAATCAAATCAGGTTTTTATAGAAACCTTCTGATCACATCATCTTTAGTTTTCCTTTCTTTCTGCAGTGGGTTTCATATCATTTTTGCATGGTGGGCAAATTGATCGGGCCCTCATTGGTCCTGCTAACAGTATCTGTCAGAATAAAGACAAATCTACTGCTGATTCTTCAAAGTCAGCTTTGTCTATGGAAGCATCAAGTTCTGAGATTCTAAGGGCAGAGAGTGGTCACCTGATATCCACAATTCTCTGTTATCACAGGACAGAAAGAGACCTGACAGACAGAGTGGGCCCTTGTATGACCCTTTAATTCCCTCTGCTTCACACCACTGATCACTGGTAAAAGGACATGCTCTCCCACTGATCTCAGTGATTCTCCCATCCTTCCATTTCTTCTTCAAGCCATAGCCAGAGCAGAAGATTTAGATGACGGTCTAATCAGCTGGGATTCAACCTTGGATGTGAAGAATGTCTCTGCACTAAATGGGAACAAGTTGTCGCTGATTACTGAGGCTGTGCTGTCTTTTGTAGTGTTTGCCAAAATGGGACCTTCCAGTGTGTGTTTCGTCCCTGTCCATCCATGTGCACGGCTTACGGCGACCGCCACTACAGGACATTTGATGGCCTGCTGTTTGACTACGTTGGCGCATGCAAAGTCTATCTTGTCAAGGTAACCAAAGTATTTATGGTAAAAGAACCTAAACTGTGGTTTGACATATTTTGACCCATGAACCAATCATATGTACACTTTGGCTCATAGTCTGTGTTTTTGGGTAGAGAGGTACTTTAGTTATTTGTTCTACTTCCCAAAAGAGCTATAACAGATTTTTACAGTACGTGTACATGTACAGTAGTGTGAGCACTTCTGCAGTTAAAAACAAACTGTGATAAATGCAGGGGACAGTAGAGATTTATAAGTATAAATGCAGTTTAGTGTCAGCAGCACTTGTCAGGCCTGAAGACGTGGGTAATTGCTGTGACTGTGTTTTCTCTCCTCCACAGAGCAGCGTGGATGTGACGCTCAGTGTTACAGCTGAGAACGTCGACTGTTTCGACAGCGGTCTCATCTGCAGGAAGTCGCTGCTGATCAGCATCGACAGATCCTCCCTGGCATTCGATGATGACACTGGGAAGCCAGTAGGAGTCCCTTCTTTATATGTTCTAGATATGTAAAAAAAAAAGACTGTGTAATCTCATAAAATTAAATGAACTAAAGAGAAACACTAAACGTGAGAGTAGACCAATTGCAGCAGTTGAACATTTCTTTCTTGTCACTTCTCTGACGGTTTTGTTACCTTGTTATATTTAAGTCACCATGACAATAACATTTGAAGTTGTATGTATAAAATCAAACCGCCCTTTCTCATGTAGAATCCATCCAGTGTGGTAGACAGGAAGCAGAGGATGTTCATCTGGCCAGCTGGATACTTCACAGTGATTCACTTCCCCAAGGAGGACGTGACCGTCCTCTGGGACCGTAAGACCACCGTCCACATCCAGGTCGGACCCAGCTGGCAGGTAGGACCTGTTTCACTAGCTTTTGTCTCCAGAGAATCCAGAGGTGGGATGTTAGATTGCATTTAGAGCAGCTTATGCTCCAGCCCACAGTGATGTTACATTGAAACATATCCAGTTAAAAAAAAAATGCTTTTCATGTATGACTACATTTCTCATGAGCCCTTCTGTTTCCTGGTTCCTTGTCCTCTTTGAAGAGGCTAAATAACATTTTAAGTTGAACTTCCAGTGACAGTCTCAACTAAAGCTCCTCTTACTTGCTTGTTTCAGAGCTTTTGACCGTGTCACATGGCTGTTGTCAGCAGAGAACTGTAGAGTTCCAGCTTGTCACTCTGGGCACTTTCAGGGCTTTCACTCCACACTGGCTTAAATGGTGAAATTCACAGTTAATGCTCGATGTTTTCTGACTAAGCAAACTCCTTTTGCTGATGAAGCCTATGTGATATGGCTGAAAGCCAGAAGCAAGCTAGTAAGTGCCCTTGATTTGAACGTGTTTTTGTTTCACGATGGCTGTCAGAGAGAACCTGAAATGTGGTGCGTGATGTCTTCCTGACTCACTAAGCGGAGTGGTACGTAGCAGCACTGTGCTCTGTGTTAGGTACAGAGGATGTGACACTACGGATGTTGTGATAAGTATTGACATATGGGAACATATCCATCTAAAGGGAGATGTTGGCAATGTGTTCAGGGGAAGCTGAGTGGGCTGTGTGGAAACTTTGACCTGAAGACTGTGAACGAGATGCGGACGCCAGACAGCATCAACTCTGCAACACCACAAGAGTTTGGAAACAGCTGGACTGCAGCAGAGGTGAGTGAGACCTCACTGATACCATCAGTTACATCTTTCAGTGTAACACTTTTTCAGTGTGCACTTCACTAAAGAATGGTGTGACATAATGGTAATGACAGATTAGTCCATAATAATCATACAGTTTGAACACTGACAGGACATTAGCACCTTCATGAGGGAGGATTTACTGTAGCACTGCTGGACTCATATCTGAAAGTCACACTGCAAAGAAGCAACAACGGGTGAAAAGCTGAAACATTGGATGGACATACTGTAGTTCACTGAGGAATGAGGGGGAGGTAGAAGTGAATCACCTTCCCTCTAAGCACTCCACTTGGTTCCCACACTATATGTTGATTGTATTGAGTAAACAAAACCTCTCAGTGCATTCTACATAACCTCTAATAACGTGTAATTTTTCACCATGGTGTCTGTGTGTGTGTGTGTGTTCAGTGTGTGAACAGTCCAGACATCAGACACCCGTGCAGCCTCAGCCCACTCCGAGAGCCCTTTGCAAAGCGCCAGTGTGCCGTCCTGCTCAGTGAGGTCTTCCAAGCCTGCCACCCAGTGGTGAGTTACCATACGGCTCCGGTCTGTGACGCCTGTCATGTTGCTTTGGAACTCACTTGTCAAACTGCTCGCTACCATCTTCTGCACTTAACAAATTACACTCAACTAAATCAGATCCAAATACAGCTGGGTGACAACTGAAAGGACAAACCAGCACCCAGTCCCCAGCAGGGCAGAGTCTCCAGAGCTGCATCAGGTCTCCTCTTTCAGAGGAGGTAACCTCCTCCTTCCAAACC